TACATTACGAGTAGCGAAACTTTTTACCTTAGCTGGAATGAAACAAATGTGCGCTGAAGAGCAACTTTTTTTGCCAGGAAAAAAATTTCGGTAAAACGCTGCTACGGTTTTTGAATAATTTCGCCGGAAAGAGCTCAACAGTTATACGAATGAGACTCTTCCGTTTATAAAATTTATCTGCTCGCGATTTCCACGATTCAACCACGTTGATTTCAAAAAGAGAGAGAGAGAGAGAGAGAGAGAAAGCCAAGCCGCGCACGTAAACGCCATCGTTCAATTTCCCATTTATCAAAAAGTAAGATCGATTTCAGGAGTTTAATTTTGCGCGTTGCTATACACTAGCCGAGCGGCGCGGCAGGCGCATCTAGTTCAAGAGGCCACAGCAGCAGCAGGAGTCGCAAGCCACCTATACAATACGTATATACACATGTATAATATGTGGCCGATAGTGCGGTAAACTAAACGAGTGTGTGGCTGGCTCTGTGTTGGTAGCGAGTATCGTACTTTCGAACACTCGATAATACAAGTCTCTTCAGATCTTTATGAGTCAGCAAAAAAGGTCCTCTTATTTTTCTCTTATGCGCTCCACCACACTTACGCGGCAGCTTTGCATTCGTGTGCGAGTGCACGTGTGTGTGTGTATGCATCCACGGAGGAAGTAATTTAAGCTGATATTCAAAAGAGGGTTCTTCATTAGCATCCGCTGCAGTAAAAGAACCTTAGCTGGCTATGTTAAACGAAAGAAGACGAAGAAGAGGTAGTAAAAAGAGTAGTAGGCCGTTATCGAGCCAATTAAATCAGAATTTTTCTTGCTGACTATTTTTCTCTTTCTCCGCCACTGTTTCCCTCCCTCCCTCCCTTTCGCCGGTAATATACTTTCGTCGCAAGCTCGCTTGCAAGCTGGCCGTGCACAACTTGTCTCGTGCATATAATACGTACAGGTGCATGTGTCGCGGTGGTGCACGAGCGAGTCAGTCTCACGCACCCCCGTCGCGACCAGCCGGGTATAAACGTTAAAAAGCTTTTACAAGTTGTTCCATTTTCCGAGGCGCGACCGAGAAATCAAAGCTTTATACAGACTCTCTCCCTCTCTCGCGTGTATACACGGCTGGTGCGGGTAATAGTACAGATATAACTCGAAGCTAATTACTCTCGGGTGGCTCAGAGGCGATGGTCGAGTTATCGAACTCCCTGATAGGAAAATTCAATTCATCCTTTCACTCTTTCAGCGGTATTACACAGTCGTAAAATTCCGCAGCGCGCAGCCTCTCTTTCTCCCTTTCTCTCTCGTTCTCTAACGCTTTTAATCGCATTCAGCGACGAGAAAGCAGCAGCGGCGGCGAAGCTCTCTCGCGTGCTATCTCGCTCACATCCTCTTTTCCACTCACTGATGACGACTCGCTTGCTCTGGCACAAAGTTTGTTACACCACAGACACTGCGGCTGTTTTTTGATGTTGCTATTTCAACTCCGGTGCTTCAACGAGGCACGCTACTACTGCCGCACACGGTTAACAATCTACCACGGCGCCGCAGAGCTAGCTAGTGCAAACATCCACTATGGATGTATGTGTCCTTATGTATTTGTATAAACTTGCAAGCACGTGCTCTGTGTGCAGGACTCTATGTGTATAGCGATATATCATAGGGCCATATATACAACAGTCAAACGTACTACGAAATTCCTCTCGTGTTTGTGTACGTGCATTATTTGTGCGCGACGTGGACTCAGTCAAATACGCACTCTTCGCTTGCATAGACGCGCGCACAAGATCTCGTAAAGAACTTGCAAGAGAGAATGCTAGATTAAAAGAATACTGTAACTGCGTTTCGTCTCAACGGAGCTGCGCGTATGAATGTGTGTGTGTGGGTGTGCAAACGCCAATGCATTCTTACACATTGTTAGAGCCAACACCTCGCCAACACACCTGCGTGTTTTTGCCTGAGCTCGTGGAATTAGTAATGGCCACGAGCATGCTTGCGAGATTGCTTGTTTCGACCCTTTCAAAGAATTCGGTACCGGAGCTTTCGAGCAATTTTTTCATGATTCGTACGTGGCTTGCTTGACTATGCATCGACATCAAAGGTCTTTGTTAATTTTTCGTTTTTCATTTATTTGCGGTTTTTATTTTCAGAATTATTAGAATGAAAACAAGCTCGAACAACAGCTTTTCAACCATATTATTATAATTACGGCTTTTGACGATTTGCGTTATTCGCTTCGAAAATTCGGACTGCGCATTACGCGTGAAATGACAACATAACTTATCGCACTCTGTTAAACTGTTATACGAAATAAATAACCAATAATCCTGTTCGTTATTATCCTATGCATTAATAATACTTAATACAGTGAAAACATTTGCAGTCCACATGCAAAATATTCACGCTCGATTGAACAATATCTTTCGAAATTAAGACTATTTCCATCATTCATTCGTGCAAAATTTTATGAAAAATATGTTATTTCTAGAGTTACTTAATTGGATTTGAAACTCTTTTCATTCTTATTAAACAGAAATTTTCAACTTTTTTACAGTTGAAATTTATGTAAAATAATACTCTGCGGAGTGTAGTTATATAGTACAAGAGAGGCGATGAAATAATAACTTTACGACTTTCAATAAAAGGAGTCTAAAAATAATAATGCTTTTTTTAAAAAAAGCTTTACTCAATACGAGCTTTTATAAAAAGGACATTCAGTCATTTTCGGAATTTTTTTTCGTTACAGATTTAAAACTAATGCTTTCTATGTAACATCAACGTGGGTCAGTAAATACTTAATGTTCGTTATTTAAAATTGAAACTTTTATTCGAATACCATGTCACTCGAATTTGTTCTTGAATTTGATTTAACTCGTAGAAAAATACAAGCAAGAAAAAATATCGAAGCATACATACCATTAAAAACAGAGGATAAGTATCAAAGAAAAGGGGGTCAACGGCGTTATTTTTTTGCCAACGAAATTTACCCGGTTACACTAAACTAGAAGCTAGAAAAATAAACAAAAATGTTGGGTACCAACGATGTTTGCACTTTACATGTTCGTAATGATCCTCGAGCCGAATACTAAAAATGTAATGAGTCGTCCATGAGCGGGTTATTTTAAAGCGATAGGATATAACGAGCGGGTAATTTACTCTCGATTAATGTTTCACGTATATGATCCGTTGTATCCATAAGGATTTATCACTTTCAAATATCAAAGCGAAGCTGCACAAATGAGCGAACCGCTACCCGTGAAACGGAAACTGTAAACGTTATAATGATAGCGCGGCTGCGAAATATTCATATTTTTTGTGCCAAAGATACTATTAAAAGGCTCAATTAACGCGTGCGCACTGGTTGCTATGCACACACGAGCCACGAACACGTACACTATGTATATCGAGTGCTTTCAATTTGTCGATCTTTTTGACCCCTCCTCAATCTCTCTTTCGTGCGAGCAAATAGCGGCTCGTTCTAAATTTGATTACTAGTCAACGCTACTAGATGTTTATAATTACACAGGAGAGCGCGGCGGGAAACAACAGCGCGGCGAGCTTTTGATTCCAATGAATTTCATTTAACTAGATGTATCGAGTCCGGTCAAAACCTCCAATGGTTTACCCACTTATGGCATGGTTGTTGTGTATATACACGCGGAACAATTTGGCGCTCGCGCCGGGCAAGTTTCTCTCTCTGCCATCAATGCGCCGCGATCCGCGTCAAACATTTATTTTACCTTAGCGCGGAAAATCCGAATGGCGTGCGCGCGCCCGATCGAGTCGATGAACAAAGAAGTATCGGTGGTTTCAATATCTGCCGTGCACTTTACTCGTGCTCATCGCGCTGTGTACGAGAGAGAGATATGCACGGCGCTGATTGTGTATTATATATTCTCGCGCCGATTGACAAACCATTGAATCGTACGGTATAAATTCTCTGCGGGGCTCGCAGCCATGCAGCGGTAACGAATAAATAGATGCTGCGATGCACAGCTGCATGGATATATACTTGGCTATATAGATGTACGTACGTATGTATGTATGTACGTATGCGGCGGAGTTTGGTAGTTACGCAGCGATTAACTCACCGACTGCGAAGCTCGTGGATGAGAGAGAGGGAGAGGAGCTTTACGGGCAAAATCGATGACGATGTATAACGCGACGAATTGAGCTGATCCTCAATGGGACACGCTTGTTAAAAAAAAGTCCAGAGACACAAACGTACTCGCCGAGCTTCCAATGGATCGAGCTTTTGTAGCCGTGGGGTATTATTTGCTCTCTCTCTCTCTAAAACTGTTGTAAAGCAGCTGCACCCAGTCTCGGTATATACGTACGAGTGCTAATCAACCGAGCGTTAAGTGACGAGTATCGTTATCCGAATGTCCTTTCTCGAATATAAAACGCAGATAAAGTATCGAAGTATAATATCGATATTTTGCAAGTTCCAACATCGTTACTTGGGGCAAGAAAAGTAAAAAGCAGCAGCGCATCTCTTTCCCTCTCTCCCTCTCTTTTTCGATGAGGCCGTGCCGGAACCGTGTGCACCGCTCGACGCAGATTATTATTGTGCGATGGCCGGTGGCCATCAAAAATACGACTCGTTCAGCCTGACACTCGGGAATGATAAGACTTATCGATCGCGAAGGCTCTCTTTCGGAACGATGCAGCGCGGCGGCGGTCCTCCACTACAAATAAATGGATTTCCCGTCGTAAAAAATATATATCCGGCGAAAATGTTGACCGTGTGATCTATACCCCGGAGAGAGCGGGCAAGGAGGACTGTACGATATCGGAAATCGAGCCACTTATTATATCAGTACAGGAGCGAGCGCGCGTCGCACCGTAAGGGTTTGTTATTTCGCGCGCGATATATCTAGGCAAACAAGAAGCCTCTTGCCGCGGCCCCCATATATTTCGAGCGACGAGCGACGAGCGAGAAAAGGAGGTAAAAGGATAGAATAAAATATCGGGAGGCGTCCGGTCGTAAAAGTGCGAGGGCCCCCATATCACTTACTTGGCTCATCAACTCTCTGCGGTCCGACGAAGCGAGGACCAGCAGCGAGCAGGATCAGCGTTAGCATCAGCAGTTTTGCGGCTCTCCTCCTCCTCGTCATCAGCATAGTATTGTTGATGATGTGCGGCCGCTATACGTGTTTATTCATGTAGCACATGCATCCGAGAGCCCACGAGTGGCGGCCACTAATACACCAGCGAGTCGCAAGCACACACACGTACCCAAATGCATAGGTGTGCGCTCATACATGTATGGATATATCTGTACATATAACCAAGGTGTGTGTGTACAGGATGGCGCACTTTTATGCACTATTGGTCAACGGCGCCGCGGGCAATCGGTCGACGCGACCGCGACTTCGATCACGAACTCGGAGCACCTGATCCTCACGATTATCATGGCTGGAAGATCACTGAACTCGCTGCTGTATAGCTACGATTTATTTCGCAATCGCTACTCTAATCACACGCGGTCGTTCGACTCTCGCCTTCGAGAGCAGCCCCCCTAACACTCCATCTTCGTTTCGGAACTATGATGTCTCACTTGAACTTGCAACAACAACGTTTAAACATTTTCAAATCACGCAGCCGTCTGGAATGCGCGGAACGAAGCCCGAAGCTGCTGCGCGTGAGCGAGTTTGTGGAACGGCGGTGGGGCGCGTGGGCTCGACGTGCGTCCAACGCGCAGCGTAGCCGCAGCCCGACTACTGGCTGATTCAGTTTTCAGCTCTCAGAAAACTTCGACCACCGATGGCGCTCGCGAGCGTGTTGAGCTTTCCGCTCTTCTACCCCTCTGCGCGCTCTGTACGAGCTACACACCCACATGCAGCCTCCTCGCACACGTACACACTCGTCCAATGCTCCCACAGCGTCGGGGAGGCTCTCTCGCATCTTCTGCGCGCGTATATAACCCCTTCTCTCGCTCCCTCGTTCGCTCTCATCCCTCTTTTGGCAGTAGCAGTGCAGCAGCAGCAGCAGCGGCGGCAGAAGTAGTAGTAGTAGTTGTAGCAGTAGTAGTAGTAGTAGTAGTACCCGTGCTGTTCGGTATGTCGAGCTGTGCGCGCGTGCTCTATCTCTCGCTGCACCGGGACCAAAATCTTTTGCGTCGCTCTGCCTCGGCTTTCCCTTGTAAAGCTGTACGAACTTTCTCCTCTCTTATAGTCGAGCCGCGCATACCGCTCAAGACTCGTCATTGTCTCTCTCTCTCTCTCTTCCTTTTTCTATTATCATCCCCTTCATCAATCTATTGTCCCCGTTTGACAAGCAGCTACACGCTGAACTAATTTTTTTTATTACATATACGTCCCGCTGTTGCATTAGAGGCTTGTTTTATTTGACACAAGAAAACTGTGTTACGACAACAATAAATGGTGACAAGTAATTTGTCCTCGAGAGGAAATAGCCTACCTCGCGCTACTCTTGCACGCGCGGATGCCACCGGTACTTTACTTTCCAGCTAACGCCTGATACTTTTCGGCTAAATGACACACTCGGGGTTAATAGGTCATATATAAAGATACGTACAAGTTCAGCGGAGAACCGCCGCCTATTTTCGCTCCAGCCAATATCATTTTCCAAGCCAATATTTGCAGCTTCCTCGCTTCGCTATACATGTATTTGTATGCAAGTATTGAAAAATAAAATAGATAAAATGTAATATTTTTTTACTTTTCTCGCTGCAGCTTATTTTCGTTACTGGGCTCTAGAAGCTTTCCTAATGGCAAAACTTTATATTCTTTGCGGAATTAAAATTGAACCAGATGGAATTAGTGAAAAAAGCACCTTCAATTAATATAAGGAAATTCGAGCGTTGAAATGAATAAAAGTTGAAAAAATGTCAATAGACTAATATGGCCCGGTAAAAGCCAGACGAATTTTCCGATATTATAAACGGCCGCCTTACTCGCTTTATTTTTAAGATTAAAAACCTGGTTTTCAAGCATGCGGATAATACCGAAATGATCGTTGTGCAAAGGCAAGAGATGTATATTTTTTCAAATGTACGAGTTTGAAATGAAAAAAATGGAAGAACAAATAAAAAAATTTTCGAAAAATAGAAAAAAGCCTATTACGGCAGATAAAACAACAATCGAAAGCTCTTTGAAGCGCAGTTAAATACAGTAGGCCATTGTACGCGTTATGCGCTTGCTTATAATGAGCGAGAGAGGCATCCCTCGAATTTTCATTTCCGCTGGCTCGTCCGCTCGGCGAGAGAGAAGGAGAGAGAGCCAGTTTAAAAAAGTAAAAATAAAAAAATGCAACGGGCAAACAAGAAATATTATGAAGAACGAATCGTGTACTATCAGGCCCGCGTACAGCTTATAATACAGCGAAGCAGAAGAATATAATGCAAGAGGAAGCGCAATGTAAAAAAAAGGAACGTAAAAAGGAACGAAAGCTCAAGCGCGCACGCAAGAGAGAGAGAGAGAGAGAAGTGTGGACACGCGGGTCGGTGCGCTTATTTAAGCGCCAAATAAAATGGTAATCCGCGTGTCTGTGTGTTTGCCGTATAGCAATCCCAAAGTATTTTCGTAATAAAGATTAAAAACAAAAGGTGAACAATTTGCCTCGCTTCCTCTAGCACTACTACAACTGCACTATGCTACTACTTTAAACTTTCTCTCTTCCTCTCTCTTTCTCTCTGTGTCTCTCTCGGCTGTTTGTACGCTGTAGCTCGGGCGGCTGGTATGGCCAGTTGCTGTGCGTGAGCGCGCGCCCGTGTATCGCATATTACGTTGGATGGCGCGAGATCGCGCAGAGCTAAAGTATTCATACGACCGTGGTAAGTTTTAATTGCGAAATTCCATCGTTATATGCCGGGGCTGCTCTGCTTTTATGCAGTTATACACACGCTTTATATTCGTATATATTTATACAGCAGTGGCAGGGGCATCTCGCGCGGTATCAGCGAACGCACAAATATAGTAAAAGTTTTCTCTTGATTATTTTTCAACAAGCGTCCAGCGGGGAGAGAATCTGCAGCTAGCGAGTGCCACCGCGCGGTGGGCTTTTATCCACTCAGCGATCCTCTTTCGCCCTCGCGGTTTAATAGGTTTATGGCGTGCGCCCAGGCTGCTGCTGCTGCCGTTGCGTTTCCTGCACACACATGCGAACGTTATACGCATATAGACTTGACATTGGCATTTGTCCAGTTTGGCCGCAAAGGTGCACTAGTCTACGGCGCGACATGCTTAACGTGACCTGTTTTCATTATTACCTAGAGAGAGAAAGACTATACTATCTAACCCCTATGTAGACGTTGTCTCTCTCTCTCTCTCTCTCTTTCTCTGGGAGCTCGAGTTGTGTTTCACCACTACTGCACTATGCAGTACTCTGTTTCTGCGTTTAGGTATTATTGCGAGGCAACTTTGGCTTCTATATATGCTCGTCGCGATATGCCCAGGACATTCTTGCGTATAGCCGCTTAATATTCTCTTTCACGACACTGCCTCTTCCTTCCCTCTTCCGCCACCGCGCGCGGCTCCTCCTCGTTGACTCCGAGAGAGCAACTGCGAGGCATGTTATATTGCAGAGAGAGAGAGAGAGCCGCTACACCGCACCAGGATCCGTCGCAGCGCTCGAGTAGCTGAATGCGCGCCCAGAATAATTCGAGTAAAAACACAATTCAGCTCGTTCTTATGTACATATATATGTATGCCGCAGCTCTCGCAGCTCGCTGAGATGAGACACATTTTCCATTATTTATAGCCACGGAATGCGCGCCCCTGCTGTCTCTGACGCAGCACCCAGCGACCGTCCTTTTTTTCTCTCTCTCTGTCTTCAACGTTGAAAACAACAGGTTGTTGTCTTTCGAGCAGGGGAACGCGCTTTGAATTCGCGGCTTCGAGATGTTTTGCTCTTCTTTCTTTGTTTTTTTTTTTGCAGCATTTTGCATTTTACCAGTACTCCCAGGCTTAAGCTTGAAATTACAACGTTTCGATGAGCGAGCGGAACGAAATTTAGGCGAAGCGAGAGAGAGAGAGAGAGAGCTGCAGAATGGGAGAGGCAAAAATATTATCCACTCGAGAAAACGATTACAAAATGTTTTAACAGAGTTTTGCTCGCGAGTGGAGGGAAAAGAGAAAGAGAGGACAATCCTTTTTTTTCCTGGCGTGCGCGAGCGTGTGAAAAAGTACATCAGCGACGAAGAAAGGGAGAGAGAGAGAGCGCGCGCGAGAAAAAGAACAGAGATTCGCTCTCGGAATACTCCCCTCTCTCTGTCCGCCATTCGAGAATACTCTCTCGATTTTCATTTTAACGCTCCCATCTCTTTCTCTCCCTCTTTCTTTCGCAGGCTACGATTTGAACTCTCGAAGCTTTTGCGCGAATAACGGCTATTTGATCCGCAAGTCAAGCTTAAGCTCAACTGAATTTCGACTCCGACGGGGCTTCGTCCATGTACGTGTACTTGTGCAGCGCGCGTCTGCACTCCTTTCATCTGACAATTTTTTCTCTCGTGTAAGTCATTGATCTCATCGTCTTTTTTCGCTACTGGCAGGCGGCAGCAGCAATCGCATTTAGGTCACCCCGCCAAGAAACTCATGGCTTTCAACTTCGCTCACTCGCTCGGACAAATCGAATATTTTCTTCGCAATCTGTTTTTCTTCCGAGCGCTAGCGTAGCATCCATTTTCATTATTATACATCTTCCTCGTCAAAACTCTTTTTTAAGCTCGGGATATCGATCTTGCTCTCGCTTCTTCTTCGTCTTCTTTCTTGAGCCAGATCCCTCCTGAGCGTAGTTGTCGATTCGTAAACATATGACGGGTAATTAAAACGTCAAAGCAATTGTTTTATCTTCGCCGAGTCGAACCATTCGCTAAGGTTGTCTTTTTTTTTGTCCTTGGAAATCCTCAAGTCGACTTTTTCTTTCTAAATTTACAAACGACGAGAGTAGAGATCAATATTTAACCAAGAGCTATATTATAATAGGATTGAACCCAAAGTTTGCGAACGGAGACAATAATCTGGTTTCAGATGCAAATTTTGAACAATCTTAAGATTGAAAGGACGTATAACAGCTGGCTGCTTTTCTGGAAACTCTTAGCCTTCCTTCCTTTGCCATTTTCCACTGGCAAGTAGTTGGATTAATAAACGTTGGTATAATTTCGTTTATTCTTTCATTACCATTCGCGCAAACGTTTTAATGTAAATTAGTATTAACAATTCAATTTGACGAGGTTACGGCGTCAAGTGCTACAGCCGATCGCGACGTTGGCATTTATATATATGTTGAGAGCTTTCATCTGCATATTCTTAGCTTCGTTACAAGTGCTTCATGACTTATATAAGTAATTGACCTATATGCGTCGAGAGCGTCGGCGAAAGAATATTTCTCTCGACTCGGCCCGGCGAAACGAGCCGAGCGAATAAGTGAAAATCTAGCAATTATTCGTATATGACATTATGTAAACATATATATGGGTCAAAATAATACTTTTTTACAAAACCGTGCGCACGTATGTCACCGATCTTGACGCGCTTTTGGTATGTTATAGTACATGGTAAAAAGGTCCCAAAAAAAAATTTTTAGACCCCCTCCCCCCTCCTACCCCCCACTTCCGGTATAAACGTCCATTTTCGATCTATATTTTTTCTGAGGACATGAAGCAAGTAAAAAATCTGAAAAAATTCATAAAAATACTTTTCCACAATCCAAACAACCTTGAATTTTTTCAGATTTTTTGA